GTTTTGGAATTCAGAGTGTAGTGAGAATTTGAATGTCTGAATTGTTTTATACTTTGGAATTCTTCATAGTATAGATATTTGAGAGTTTCAGAGTTTGACTGGAAAGTCATCATTATACTGGATAATGGTAATTTGACAGCCCTCTTTTTTAATCAGCATTTTTTTTTGTTTCACTTTTTACTTTAGACGTTACAAACAATAATGCATTATCAGAAAATCGTCGAAATACCACAAATCAGAATCAAGATAATGAAGGAGACGAAACGGAATTCGCTCGCAGTGGATTTGAATTAGACGGTGGAAACGGTAGATAGTTTATCGCATACCTAGGCTATCTGTAACTAATTGTTGTTGTTTTGAACTGAAACTGCCTGGTCGTGTGCAACTGCTCGTCAGTGTGCTTTCTGACTAACTCGCAGCTCGTCACCCATTATTGGTACCTACGTAACATTTTTTGTTATCTGTTACTTAAAACGGTAATGTTTTGAGCGTTACAGTTGCTGTAATAGGTAACGACTTGGCATATATTAACCGAGAGTGGGATCGTTCACAGTAGCCTTATTCAAATCGTATTAGACTTTGAAAAAAGTCCTTAGTAAATTAATGACATATACCACATAAAAGTTTTCTCAAGAATATAAAATGCTATCCTGTAGAGAATAACCCATGAAGACGTGAAACCGGACGTTCTGAATGAACGCTCTCAAATGTTGTTTCTTGATCAAATAAGTTTGATATGTACAGAGAAAATTGTTGAATATTTTATTTGTTTATACGGTTAAACTTTGCTGAAATAATTCTAATTTTTCCAACATATCAAAATCAGGCGGTGGATACGGATCAAAAAGTCGAACAAAAATACTGGCTTACTCAATCGATACTGAGGATGATTGAACAGGATGAACATTTTCTTCTTTCATTATCGAATAGGTGTTCTCTTTTAATTCATATCTGTTAATTATTATTTGGTTGTTAATTATACCCTTTGGTACCTGCTTATTATCGTTAGACAATACTCGAATATAACCTGGTGCTTCAGCTAAATATTCCATTTGATTCTCATTCTCAATTGCAATACTATGTGTTACATACATAATATCATATTCCCATTTTAAAAGATCATTGGCTACATACCGAGCTGTCGACTATCCATCACTTCTACTACTCGATAAATGAACAGGGGCTTGACTAAAATCTGTGGCTTTATTCATGGACGAGTTCATTTTTTATTTGTTTTTTA